GAAGGAGCTTGCTCCCAGACAAAACGTGTGTCTCCACAGCTCTGAGGAAGTCCTATGGAATGGCTCTTTCCTAGGAGCTTGTATCCAACTTCCTAGCCTTGTGGCTGTTTGGTGGAATAGATTCTCCTCCTACCTGTTCTTGGAGCCTGAAACATAGTGGTGCTTGGGTAAGAGAAGGGAGCTTCTGATAGTGGGGCTTCGTGGAGAAAGTCAGTAACCCTTTTAGTAAAATTGCACCCAAGCCCTGTGTGAAGAGGTTTGCCCTGCAAGGTAAAGGTTTGTTGTCCATAAGATGTTCTACCTTAACAGCAGGCCAGAGTTTTTGTCTGTATCCTCCCAACCCCCATCTTCTAGCCCTCATTTCTGTTTCACCCAAGCCTGTAACCCCACAGCCCCACCCAACAGGAGAATCTGAAAGAAGTCACTGAGACCCCACAGTGGAGGTCAAGCCCAGGGAGAGATGGAATTCTGGGATTAAAGCCAAGTCACAAATGTGTGGCCTCTGGGCTATGCACAGTGCTCAGAAGTGCTGGTTTGATCCATAGAGTATCTTTATTTAAAATTTAAATGCATATATAAAATGGAGAGATTCCACGTAAAAATACAATTTTCTACTTTCTCTTAAAAAAATAAAATGAAAAACATCTGGCTCTCCTAGCACCCCTGCATGGCCACCACCAGTTGGATCTAGTAGCCAGCACCAGCCCCTTTACAAGGAGTACTCACTCTCCAGTTTGCTTCTCTTAAACCAGAAGTTTCACCTTTCTGCATTACTTCCTTGGCCCTGGCAGGCACCCAAGTTTGAGTCCCTTGGATTATGGCAGGGAAGGCAGAAGAAAGAAAGAAGGTCAAATGAAAAGAGATTTCCCTGATGTATTCATTGGGTTGCTTTGGGATACAAGTAACAGAATATCTGACTAAAAGTTGCTTAAACAACCAGGACCGTTAATACTTTAACAGAAAGGCTAAAAGCAGGCTGTTGGATGCAGGGCTTGATCAGTATCTCAGCAATTTCAAGGTTCTAGGTCAGCTTTTGTGTAGTGTCCTTGGACTTCTCCTCATGGTGGCAAGATAGCTGCCACAGCTCCAAACAACCACACCCTCACTCAATGACATATAAAAGAAAGAAAAAAGAGACCAGAGTGTCTCCTCCCGTGTCTCTCTCTTATCAAAGAGCCAGATCTTCCCAGAAGATTCCAAAACTTTGCCTCAGGTCTCATTAGCTACAGATGGACCATGTGACCACCTGTAAATCAAACATTGGCAAATGGGGTAGAGTTGTCATGTTTGAGTAAGACCAAACATGGTTCTAGTAGAGGGGTCCCCTTTAGTACATTGCTGCCCACACATTCTGCTGAAAAGGAACGTGGAGAGGATGGTACACCTACCATCTGTGAAAGGGTGGCCAGACAGGGCACCCCAAAATTCCACTGTAATAGCCCCGTGTGAACTGAGTTACTTAGGAAGAACTGAAATGTGCCTGAGGGGGATCAGCCACTGTGGTGTTTGTAGGGGATACAAGACAAGGCTGGAATACAAAGTACAGTACTATTTGTCTCTTCTTCTAGACTCTCTGTACACCCAGCTGAGAGTAAGACCATTTTGTTACAAACTCTACCAGCCTTCCCTTCCCATAGGGACCTGATTCTTGTGTTCTGGGTATTCACTGGCCAATAGGAGGACAGGTTTCTATCCTGATCCAGTTCCAGAATTTGCTCTCTCGGTTTTCTTCCTGCTTGGGTTGCATTAGAGGGCATGGCCCTTGGGATCAGGTCTGAGACTCAGCCCTGCAGCTGGAGGGCATGCCATTCATCTGGGTGAAGCTCTTTCCTGAAGGGACTGATGATGTGGCTTTTGGAATGAGGATCATGGGTCATAAATCATGGCTTATTGCTAGATCCTTTGTCATCTCATCTTTGGCTCTCTGTCCCAAGCAGCCTCAGAGCCACAGGCTCTGGGAAACAGCAAATAAAGCTTTAGCTCCTGGTCCAGTGTGCCCTGCCCTCTTATAAACCACTCAGTTAAGCTGGAAGGACTGAGCAACGCTGATGGCCTCAGAAGGCCCCGGGACAGTAGGTGGACCCTCTCACCCCTTATGCCCACTGCACCAAATTGAAATGTTATACAAGAGCCAGAACTGGAAGAGTCCATCACACCCTCTGTCAGCCAGGTGCCCAATCCATGTCCAACAGCTCATCAGTTGGCAAAGTTCAAAAACTGAGAAATAAAGTAATTATTTTAATACTCTATGTGATGTCATGCTCTTCAGCCCTCTTTCAAATATGTTCAAGTCCCTTATCTCATCGGATCCTCCTGATAACCTTGGGCAGCCCCTAGGACAGGGGTCACAGGAATAAATCTCAGACGCCATAGCCACCATTTCACTGGTGCCTACTGCACACCAGGCACTGTGCCAAGCACTTCACACCCTCTGTCTCATTTAATGGTCTCAACAGCCCTGTGGGACATGGACTGTTACTGACCCCATTTTACAAGTGAGAACCTAAAGCTCAGAAAGACGGTGCAACTCACCTAAGGCCACACAGCTAGCAAGCGACAGAGCCAGGTTTCAAGTTCAGGTCGATCTGGTTAAAAGCCTGGGCTTTTAATAACCACTACGATATTCTCTCAGCCTAGGAAGTGGTGTTTTAATGGTGGCTGGAGTGACTGCCCTTTATCTCAAGAATAGGATGGGTGTTATACCATTAAGGTGACTGTCCTCCACTTCCTGACTCTTCCCTCCCTCCTCAGCCTCACTTCCTGCTCTCTTTTGCCCTCTGTCCTCCCTCAGGAATAAGTTCAAAACACAAGTGCTGGATTTGGTGCCCTGTATCCTAGAAAATCAAGTTCAAGGTGCTTCAGCATGGTCTCCTGGGGACTCCAGAGCTAAACTAGGCCCAAGAATCAAGATGGAAACTGACAGGCAGGAACAAATGGCAGGCCAGTCTCAGGCAACCCCACCATGTTGGGGAGGTCAGGACCAGCAGACCCGGAATGAACCATTTAAATCAACAGAGTTCAAGCACAAGCTGTGACTGCTACCTAAGCCATGTTCAGGGCCAGAAGCTAAGGGCCAAAAAGAATTTGCGTGTGGGCAGAGCACAGGGTCTGCACTAACTGATGGGGTCCAGTCTACAGGGTCTCCCTCAACCAGAAACAAAGGTCCAGACACACACAGGTGCCAGTGGAGACCAGTGGGAGCTGAGAGGAGAACCCACACTCGAAACAGGGCTTCGGGCCAAGCAGGAGTGCTCGCAAAAGGCCAACACGACAAACACGCCCAAGCAGTCTTGGGGGTCCCTGTTTCCTGCCAGGTGCAATCTGATCAATTAATCCTACTGAAGTGTTATTGGCTCATCATAACTTCATATCCATCCCTCCCAGGATGTGGATATGGATCATAATGAAATAGCATACTTGCACCATCTCTAATTCTTAGCATGGTCACCAAAACGTGTAAGTTGTCAGTGAGTCCCCATTTTAGAGATGAGCAAACTGAGGCTTGGAGAGATAGGTGGCCTGCCAAGGTCTTTTAAAGAAAGGGGCAGGTTTAGAGCCCTGGTCTTCCTGGCTCCCTAGAAAATATTCTTTTCTCTCTAGCCTGCATGGTACCCAAGAACTATAACTGGGCTCCTCCTGCGCTAGGAGATTAAAGAGAATATGCATGAACCCATCTTCTGGGTGCTACCTCTATGTCAGTCAGTGTGCTGGGTGCTAGGGGTGCAACAGTCGATGAGACACAGAGTCTGCACTCAAAGAACTCATTGACCCCACCGTCATCACCACCAACCAGATTGTGCTGGTGTCCCTCAAAGTGCAGCAGAGAGTCAGCTGCCTTTTCCCACCCTGCCTGTGATGGAAGGTTGAGCTCAGCAACATTTTCTTCATGCCACTTGCTCTGCTCATTACAGAAACCACACTGTTGACAGAGGCAGAACTGTTGGACCAGCGGATTAGACTGGATCATTTTGAATCTAAACTGCATCCTCCCTGATCAGTGGCCCCTGCCGGCCCAGAGAGGTTTCTGTTTGCTCGGAGCTGGGAGGATTTGCTGGGATTAGCATACAGATTGTTGCACACTGGGGAAATGGTACCAGTGCTGCACAGCGGACCGGCTGGAGCACAGTCAGCTCCACTCCTCGCCATGGACCACAGTCCCGGAGTGACACAGCGCTTCTCAGGGCTCCGGCAGCAACAGGCGCCTGCCTCCAAGATGACACAATGGTGGGAATGACATCTCTTGGTTATCTTACCCTCACTGAAGCTCCTTAGGAATGATTTCAGCCCTCTCTCCAGCAACCAGAGCTATAAATAAAGATTCCCAGGGGAGGCCGAATCCTGCCCTCATCCCGGCCACCCATGACTCATCGCAGAGACAGATTCATCTTCCATCTCCTTGATTATAGGAAAAGGGAAGTGAGAGTCTGTCAGTGTACATGGGTGCACACCGCTGTGCTCTTCTGCATGCTGTGTGAATTTAGGTGCAATCTGTATACATGCTTGTGTGTCTGTGCATGGAATTCTCTGCGTACATGTGTCTACTTATGGCCAAGTATTTCATTTTAAGGGGGAGAGGAAAGGTGTGTTCTCATGCAAGTTTTGGTGTGGAGACTGGAAGCTAAAACTCCAAGTTAAATCTCTACTACTACTTTCCAAACCCTTCTTCGTGCACAACCCTATGCTAAGCAAGGAAAACAAGACGCAAGCTCTATAATCTGATGGACTACAGCTGCTTGAAGCAAATAAAATTTCTGAAGTAGCACCAGCAGTTCATGAGGAAAAACGAAAAAAGCCTGACGTAACAGGAAAGAACCACTCACTCACTCATGGAGCTCTCCTCAGCGCCTGGCACTGACTAAGGGCCTCACGATATACTCCTCCCCACAACGCAGTAAAAGAGAGTTTCTCATCCCAGTCTTCACAGATGAGGAAGCAACCCCAGAGAAGTTAAATAATTTGCTTAAAATCATGTGAGCCATGAAGGTCCAAGGTAAAAAATTGGAACTCAGGGCTTTGGGCACAGCCTCTGAGGCCGTATCATCCAACCTTCCCTCTGCTGTTTGCATCTCCCCTACAAGATCCCTGCACACTGGTCATTCAGCCCTTTGGTAGGAGAAACTCAGCCCTTGAGATAAACCATTCCACCTTGAGGCAGTGCCCAACTGCAGGCAAGCTCTCTCCTGTGTTGAGTCCCTCATCTCACTTTTGCCCATCAACTCCCTCATGTCCTCAGAGGCTAACGAGGCCATTCTAATTCCACTTCCTGTCCCTTCCCTTCAGATAAAGATGACAGCCATCACCGTGCTGTTTCCTCACCAAGCCAGGCTCTTCAACCATTCCATACCTGAAGTAATTTTGAATCCTTAAATATTTGTACATCACCGTGTCCCTCCTGCTGGTGTCCATGGTGTGGGCACATTTAGACTGAGTAAATATCAGTTGAGTAAATAAGGAGATGAGTGGACCCTTGTAGGTAGATGGCATCACAACGTATTTCATTGAGTCTTTTGTCTTAATTAAGTATTGTGTGGTTTCCAGGTACAGAGCCTATTTTGGCTAGTTCAAGTAAAAATTTGAGGTTTAATGGAAGGATCCAAGGGACTCTAAAGAAAGCTAAATGTAGGAAAATTAAAAGGCCTTGTGGAATGAGAACAATATCAGAAAGTGCTCACTCTCTCTCTCTCTCCCTCCTCATTTGTGTTTTCTGCTCCCTAACTTCTTTTTGTGTCTGCACCATGTCCTTCTCTTGCTACACTGATTCCCCCTCTATTGCTCATGGCCCAGCATGGCAGCTGTCCCAGAGCCATATTCTCACTTGGCTCCATGTCCATCAGCATGTAAATGACAGGAGCTCTGTGTCCCACTAGAGAGGAATGGATTGGTCACTCTTCCATGAAATGGCCACTCTAGACCAATCAGTGAGAGCTGGCAGGCACAGGGAGGAGTCAGCTAGCACCAACATTCATCCTTCAGTACCTCTTTAGCAAGGATTTGAAGGGTTTGTTAGAGGGGAGAGAAAATCTTTTGGGAAAGGAATATGGGTGAATAAAAATGCTTGTATCTCTTGTATACCTTTAAGGACCAGTATTATAAATTTATTTGAGAGGCTCAGACTGCTCTCAGAGAAGCATTTTATCCTTAGGATGTCCAAACATGAGTGCTAGGGACTTGCAGCCTTCAGAACTTCCTGTGCTTCTAGAATTCAGCTTCAGGGCCGTGGAATCATGAAAGGCTTGCCCAGTGACAATAAGTGACCTAGAAAGAGTTCAAGCTTCCCTTCTGTGGCACGTGGTGTTACTGAAATTAGTAATGACTCCTTAGCATCTTGTCAGTGATCCTGGTCATCTTCAGGTTCAACCAGCAAGTCCTAGACACATAAATAGCCCATTTTCTTCTTCCCTGTATGCATGGGGAAGGAATGTGTGTATAGCATGATGAGGGTTATGGTTGGGGAAGGGCTGGAGAAAAGGGGAATGTGACTGTTTTGCAAAAGTAATTCATTGGATTATAGACTAGAGAGTCCCTTAGAAATCATCTAGCCATGTAGTTATCAAACTGTGTTCCTCAGACCTCTAGGGTTTCTCAGAAGTCCCTCAAAAACAAAAAGAGAAGGTAACAGGGAAGATTGAGTAGGCAGACTTTCAGCCACCACCACCACCTGGCCCACCAGTATTTGTTCAGCACCCACAGCAATTTGGGTATTCTTAATATTATATATTGGGTTGCTGTTTGTTATTTACAGGTGAGGAAACTGTGCGGAGGGGTGGAGTGACTTCCTCATGGTCACATGACTAGTGAGAGCCTGAGCTTTGCTGGTTGCCTTCTATGCTGACTCCCAGAGCCCTCTTTCTGCTGGCACAGGTCATACTGAGACAAGAAAGAGAGCAATGATTTTTGACAAGGATAAGTATTATGACAGCTGACCATCTGTGTCTGCAACCTGCAGCAAAGCATCAAGCATTCACTACTGGTACGTTCCCGTCGCCCAATAGCCCGAGCATACAGCTGTGCTCGGCAGTGTTCAAGCAGGACAGTGATGAACTGGTAGCTTCAGGGCTCAAGTCTTCTAAATGGTCAAACTTACTCCTTGGGTGCCTATTTTGCAATTAGCTCATTCATAAAGGGACCCTGTAACAGTTAGGGTAATTTAATTACAATCAACAGAACCGAACTCTAACTAGCTAGATAGAGGGACTGAGAGAGAATGTTGAGGAGCTCTCCAAATTGGCAATGTCAGGACACCATGGCTGGAATAAATTAAGGTCAACCAATCTTCCTAGATATAAGGTCATCAGAGGGAGATTGACAGATGAGCTCAGTTCACATGACCACCTGCTTAGTGGCCACTAATGTTCTCTTGTCCAATTCCTATTCCAGGCTCTCCAGGCCAACATATTTACAGCTCCTCTTGTGCCAAACCTTGATGACATGGTTCTGACAGTCACAGGCTGTCTAGATCAGAAGTTGGTCTGACCCCTTCTCTTCTCTTCTCTCCCATTCTGACCTAGCTCTTGTCATGCCTCCACCACTCTAAGAATCATAAGACCAAACTGTTGTCAAGCTCCCACAGTTTCCTTGTGTTCTTAGTATCTTACAGCCTGATAGTATGTCTTTCATTTGACTCACACATACAATTTCTTACCTTGCCCTCTTTTCTAGGCACTTGGGAGAGGTTTATTTGGGGCTGGAGTAGAGAGCAAGATGCAAATAGTGTAGCATCCAAAATTATCCCCCTTCTTTCATAAGCCATCCAGGAACTGGACTCAAACTTAGAGTCAGTCCGATTCAAGAGTTAAGGGGCAGCCCCTGTTCCCATTTTGGTTCAAGAATTTTAGCCTAGAGCAAACAGTCAACTCCAACACATTCCCTCACTGGTTCTCCTAGAAGGCCTATGGGGACTTCATACAAACAGAATCTTTGCGTCAGAGTCCCAGCAGCAGACACAAATTAGACCCACCCCGTGGAATTTGCTGCAAAAACATTCACACACATAACCTCCAAAGTCACTTCTAACTCTAAGGGCTCATGATTCTCTGATGAAGCAAAGGGGATTAATTTCTAAGAAGGGGGTAATGAATATCTATTCAATGACCCATAATTCACTCTGCCAGATTCTGGAGACTTCCCGATCATGGAGAGCAATCCCATGATGCTGCACTTCTGCCATTTGCCTGGGAGTTTATGACATCAGAGAGCAGGGTCTGACCTGACCCTTGCAGGAAAAATGTTTTCTAAACTATGAGATATTGTTTCTACTCCCAGAACCAAACACATCACTTTCTGTTTGGCTCTGGCCAGTGGATCAGCCACCAAGGAGTCCCTGATGGTTGATTCAACCAACCACTAGCAACAGCAAGGAGACAGTGGTCTGTGCCATCTGCTCAACAAACAGCCTTCATAGTGGCCAAAAGCCAAGAGTAAATTAAAAAGAAAAAAAATCTATTCAATTCTGCATGTGGAACTAAGCTATGTTTCAGGATGGGGGAGCTTAAAAAAATTGGTTGTTCCATGATACTAAGGAATATTTTCCCAACCCCCAAATGGCATATCATTATGTTTTAAGTTGTTTCTTCAAATAGCAATGTTTTTTTCACCAAACCATCCACACTGGTCCTTCTTTTTTAAAAAAGTGCACAATCAGTGACCACAAAACACAGCAGAGGCATCTCAATGAGCTAAAATGCTCAAATCTACTGTTCTTCAATCCAGAACACTATTTGAGGAGGACTTGCCAGCTTGGGTAGAGGGAGGATTCTCAGGTAGGTTCCTGAATTAGAAAAAGGTGGATGCTTTGGTGTATAATCAACTATATCCTCAGCTCAGTTACCCAATTCACTGTAGTGAGTGACAGATGCTGGCATCTTGACATCAGCTAAAGCTGGTTCTTAGTAGCTTGGCTTGAGGTATTTCTGAGAAGGAAATAAAAATGGTACATTTTAGTTGCCCTCTCATTAGTAGAGTCAGGGACCAAACTTAGCCCCACTCACACTGAGAATGCTAAGTAAAATCAGGCTTATGAATCTCAGAACAGGAAACAGACTGGGAGAGCAAGTAGTCCAAAGCAGAAACTGATTTAAAAACCAGTAATAATAAAAATAACAATAGTGAATTTTAATGATGGTAGAGATTTCTGTCAGATGCCTAGCCAGCATTCCTAACTCACTTCCTTTCCCAACAGAACTTCAGTTTTCTTTGGGCACCCAACTTTCTTCCATGTACCCTCAGGGGAAACTGTGCCCCTCACATCCAGGATGAGTTCCATAGGTCAAGTGCTTCTTACAACTACAGTGTAACCTTGGTTCTCCAACTTAATGCATTCCAGAAAACTGTTCCAGAAGCAATTTGTGCAGAAACTGAAGCTCCTTTGTTTGTTGCCTGAGAAATGCATGACTGGTATCAGTATGAAATGGTTGTCAAGCAGAGAATGGAGACCTGAAGTTTTGTTAGACAACTGAGACATTTTTTTTCTGTGAACAGCTTGGTCAAGAACCAAAGTTTGACTGTAATTAGTGAGAGTAGGCATGTGACCCAGTTCTGGCTAATAAGATATAAGCAGGTTTGGTGGTGGAATACAAACAAAAAACAAAAAACAAGAAAGTTTCTCTACGTAGTCTGTGGAGATACATCCTTCTTCCCCAAGACACTGATGCATCTAGATATGGTATCTGGGAATGAGGCTGCCACATTGATATGGGCCTAAAAGTGGAGCCAACTCTCAGGATCACAAAACAAACATGGGAAGAGCATGGTTCTTGATGAGATCACTGATTAACCAACTTTGAATACATCCTCTCCTTGAACTTCTGATTACCTGAGTTATTACATTTCCTTTTATAAGCCACTCTGAGCTGGAGGTTTAGTTACCATAAGTTAGAAAGAATGCTTACCATTGCCAGTTCTTGGTACCCTAGGGGTATCATTTTCCCTAATCTTCATGGCAACCCTATAACATGCATATTATTGTTATCCCATTCTACTTTTGAGGAAACTAAGTCTTAGGGAGATCAAATAATTTGCTCAGAATCAGTTGAAAGTTGTGAAGACTAGATTTAAAATCTAAGCAGCCCAATCTACAGGGCCTGCACTCTTACCCTCCACGCTTTATAACCCAGCAAAGGGAAAGACTTACTACCAAAAAAGCACCATAAGTCAGTATCACTCCACACTTGAAACCAGGGCCCAGGGTTCTTTCAATACTCGTGTAGAAGGTGATGACTTCAGAGCTCAGGAGCCAGTGGGGACTCTTCTACCCTTTCCCCAAGGCATCCCTTCTCACAGAACCCAAAGTCTGGCTTAAACGACTGGCTCTTCTCTCTAACCATCGGCTACATGGCTGGCTCTCTGTGCTCATCTCCTTCCACCTCTTTCTTCATTGCAGCCTTTTATCTCATTAATTGACTTTCTGCAGCCATTGCAAAGAGACGTATCAGTCTCCTGGAAAATATCCCAGGATAGGGGAAAGATCATTGCTAGTAAGGAGGCCTCACCAGCAAAGAAATTAGTCTGCTGCTGGGGGTGTGGAGGATGAGTTGGCAGGTTTCCCATGCTAATCAGTTTCAGTCTTGATTCAGTGGGTCTCTCCCAAGCCAGGTGACAGCTCTATAGTGTCCAGCAGTTCCAGACATGGAAAGAAGGCAAACACTTGAAGCTCCTTCAAGCAGAGGATGAGTCACCAGGAGCTCCACCATAGGAACATCACAGGCCTGGAATTGTCCACGAGTGAGAGGACAGGCTGATGATGGCCTGACAGGGTGACATCACCACGCTAACAAGAGAAACAGGAATGAGGAGCCCACGCTTGCATGGGCAGTTCTGGAAGTGGGGCGGCAGTGGGGTGCCATAGTTGTGAGCATGGTCTTATAATTAAGCAGATGTGACTTTGACTCCAAGTTCAGTTACTTGCTAGCTGGTAAATGCAGAGAAAAGTGAGTAATGGAATTTCTGTGAACCTCGGGATTATTTCCTCTGTGAAAAATAAGAGTAGGATGGTTGTATTAGATGTGATGAGCATTATGCCTGGCACATAATAAATGCTCAATGCCTTTGAATATAGTGATACTGGCTGCAAAGATGATGACAATAATGATGAAAACTGAGTGGATGGCAAACGTGTGTTCATTCTCATGGTCAAAGTTTCTCCTTCTTAATAACAACCCCAGACAAGGCCCTGCCTCATTTGAAGGGACTCTCATCTCCTATTTTGACCCAAGTTCCCACAGTTATTCCCTTCTTAAGGAAAGCAAAATTCAGTGTACTTAAACTTTACCCAAACAAGCAACTGGCTACAAAGATGATTTTCTATCATATCAAGTTGTGTTAAGGGAGAACACCCACCTCAGCTTAGTACAGCCAATTAATCAGACGACTACATACAGAACTGGAAAAGGTGAATCAACACAGATATGGTTAATTTCAAAAGGGGATATTTTTATGGGGTGACTAAGCCTCAGCACTCAAAGCTAGTATAATGATTTTATCAGGTTTATGGTGAAAAGACTTGAACTATGTTTACTCAAATTTATCCATAGGATTCCATTTGCATCTGCCAGTGAATATGGTGTGGTTATCCAGTTGTCCAAAAGACATGACTTATTTGACATGGCTTTAGTGAAGATTTTCAACTAAGTTTTTTAATCTGTTGGTTGAAGTAAGGCTGTGCAGGCTATCATTTGAGCAGTGCATCATATTTAATTGGCTCAGCTAGTTGTTTCTGTATGTGTAAAGCTGAAATATACAGAAGATGCGACACAGTGCAAAGTTATAACTTTGCTCCACAGAGCCCTAGGGGTGTGGTGAAGGTGTCACTCAGGGTCATGACTAAGGGAGCACAGGAATTCTTAGAACTCTAGAATGCCCACCCCTGTCTTCACCCAGAGCATCTATGTCTGGTTTCTATATTAGGCTTCTACATAACGTTACTCACAACTTTAAAAAACGTTTGGAAATCAACCTCCTGATTGAACTCACTCA